AACATCACCTTATGATACATTGGAACAAATCTCAACACCAAAATTCTGTGATACAACTCCGTCAACTCCAGCGAAGAAAAATTCCCCAGTTGATAATATTCTCGATCAACTCGAGTCGTTTACAACGCTTAAAAATCAATTACCTACACATTCTACAACTACGTATACAAACAAGTACCTAGCCATTAACAACACCATTAATCCAAGGACTATCAACATTGCCGATCAGAGTTTTCTCCAACTAGCACCTGTTATCACCAATAATCATTCTTCAAACCGAAGACAATCTTTTAAACCTTCCCATCCGAGGGAAAAATCAAATACTAATTGTACCGGTCGCACGTCTGATTGGTTGAAAGATGTGCATGATTTCAACCACTTCCGGCAAGGAAAAAATGATTATTTTGGTACCCCGGGGTCCAAAAAGGGTATTCTGTGATACAACTCCATCAACTCCAGCGAAGAAAAATTCACCAGTTTTATACCCGATAATATTCTTGGTAACTCGAGTCGTTCTACAACGCTTAAAAATCAATTACCTACATTCTACAACTACGTACTTGAAACAAGTACCTAGCCATTAACAACACCATTAATCCAAGGACTATCAACATTGCCGATCAGAGTTTTCTCCAACTTGCACCTGTTATCACCAGTAATCACTCTTCAAGCCGAAGACAATCTTTTAAACCTTCCCATCCGAGGGAAAAATCAAATACTAATTGTACCGGTCGCACGTCTGATTGGTTGAAAGATGTTCATGATTTCAACCACTTCCGGCAAGGAAAAAATGATTATTTTGGTACACCAGGATCGAATACAAGAAGAAAATCATCTAAAACTGAACCGTTGAAGTCCAGTTCTGAGTTTATTGTCTTACCACCAATAGAAGGTAAAGAATTGCGGTCGTCTTCAGCTGCAACGATAAGTCAACTGGGAAAAGCACCGATTTTACCACTGGGAAGGTTAAAACATCCGCCTGTTTACCCGCTCTACGAGAATGATAAAGAGAGCGATCACAATGATGGCTTTGTTAGCTTCCGGCATCGCAAGCGGAAGTACAAGTAACCTCCATAGACATTCGATCAAAAAAATTACAATTTTATACATATACTACCGTTATATTATGATTATATATATTTTACGGATTTGTACTGCGTTAGAGTTGAAAGTTTAATGAAGAAAACGATCAGGAATTGGGTTTGTTAAACACCTGGTGACTACTATATCCTGATAAACAAACGCGGAGCGTTTTGGTGTGCGTTTCCGGTTGGGATCTTTGAAATCAACATGGTGGAGGCCAAACTTAACCCTAAAATAATTTTTTTATAGAAAAATATTCAGTTTTATGTGTAATATTTACGTGTATCCATCTTGCCACTCAAAATTATCCATCAAAGTCCAGAAGGTGTATCCTGTCACCCGGCAGTTGTCTTTCAAGATGGCGTCGGACATGGCGGCCATGTATGATCGCATATAATCAATGCGGTCGATATCATTCAAGGTTTCTGTATCGTTACCTGCAAATCCATTCTCGAAAACAATAACTTCCGGATTGTTGTATTCATTTTTGATCCAGTTTAATAACTTCCTGAATCCCCATGGTACAACTCTAAAGAGTTCACTTCCATTGGTTTTCCAAGAAGGGTCGTAGAATGTTGTACAATTAATATCGTTTTCATTCGTTGGTGGTACCTCCGTGTTTCCGTGTTTTACAGCCACGGTGTTGTAATGATTCAAACCAAAAAAGTCAGAACTACCTTTAAGCAGTTGTATTTCTTCAGGGGTGAATTTCGGAAGCCGAGATTGATCAAAACCTTGATTTTTACTAACAGTATCAATAAGTTCCCGCATTATTAAAGGATAATTTCCTTCTTTACTAAATATAGGATGTGCGAACCATCCTAGGTCCATTTGCATGTACCTTTCTGCAGCTTCAATATCTTCTGGGGTTTGAGTGGCTGGTTCACCCCACCTTGCGTCATTCGTAATACCAATCCTACCTTTTTGTATAGCTCTGAATTCTTTATCGTAAATGTGATATGCTTTCATATGTCCTAATAATTCTCCATGTCCTGATAGATAAGACCCGATACCTTTGGAATCATACGCCGGAGCAAGTTGTGCACCACCATAAGCTCGCATAGCAATCAAAATAGGTTCATTGATGGTAATCCATGTTTTGACTCTGTCTCCGAAATGTTTGAAGCATACCCTGGCATAACTCGCGAAGTAATCCGACGTGATTGGGTTACACCATCCTCCTAAGTTGTTGATGCTTAATGGTATATCCCAATGGAATAAAGTAGCGACTGGTTCAATGTTGTTTTGAATCAGGGCATTGATCAAACGGTTGTAGTAATCTATACCAGCATGGTTGATTTTATTCGGATGACCTGAAGGGAGTATTCTACACCATGAAATAGAAAATCTATAGAATTGAACTTTTAAACGTTTGATGTTCGCGATGTCTTCCTCGAATTTGTGGTAGGAATCACATGAGATATCGCCGGAAGTGAGGTTTACGATGCGTTGGGGAAAAGTGTGGGTGTAATAATCCCAAATGGATTCAGATTTACCTAAAAATATATTAAAATTTTAATATATTTAAAATGTGCTACTTTGGTTACCTACCATCTTCATTCCAACCGCCTTCGATTTGATACGCTGATGTAGAAACACCAAACTTGAAGTTTTTAGGAAAATGTACCGTTGTAGGTTTCGCCATTTTGATTTAACGCAAATTCGCAAAGAACTAAAATATTCCACATTGCAACCAGATAGTTATAGTTGCAATATTTGAACAATGTTATAAATCATCAACAAGATAACAATATTGTTTTTTGTTGTGTAATTACTAAAAAGCAAACTAAACTAAAGAAATACTATATTTAAGTGAGTCTAGCGAAATTTAAATTTAAAGGTTATGATCAAAACTTTCCGGTTTGATATCCGTAACCATTTTAGTTTTAATCAAATTTTGATAGTAATACGCTGACCGTTTTGGAGTACGCTTTCTTTTCGGATCATTGAAATCAACATGAAACAATCCAAAACGACACCTAGAGGACAAACATTAAATTAAATAAAGTTACATGTATTTACAATATTATATTCCATCCAAGGGAAAAATCAAATACTAATTGTACCAGTCGCACTTCCAGATTGGTTGAAGGATGTGCATGATTTGCTCACTTCCGGCAAGGAAAAAATGATTATTTTGGTACCCCGGGGTCGAATACAAGAAGAAAATCATCAAAAACTGAACCGTTGAAGTCCAGTTCCGAATTTATTGTCTTACCACCGATAGAAGGTAAAGAATTGCGGTCATCATCAGCTGCAACGATAAGTCAGCTAGGAAAAGCGCCTATTTTACCACTGGGAAGGTTAAAACATCCGCCTGTTTACCCGCTCTACGAGAATGACAAAGAGAGCGACCATAATGATGGCTTTGTTAGCTTCCGACATCGCAAGCGGAAGTACAAGTAACCTCAATAGACATTCGATCAAAAAATTACAATTTTATACATATACTACCGTTATATTATGATTATATATATTTTACGGATTTGTACTGCGTTAGAATTGATAGTTTAATGAAGAAAACGATCAGGAATCGGATTTGTTAAACACCTGGTGACTACTATATCCTGATAAACAAACGCGGACCGTTTTGGTGTGCGTTTCCGGTTGGGATCTTTGAAATCAACATGGTGCAGACCAAACTTAACCCTAAAAATTAATTTTCTATAAAAAAAAATTCATTTTTATGTGTAATATTTACGTGTATCCATCTTGCCACTCAAAATTATCCATCAAAGTCCAAAAGGTGTATCCTGTCACCCGGCAGTTGTCTTTCAAGATGGCGTCGGACATGGCCGCCATGTATGATCTCATATAATCAATGCGGTCGATATCATTCAAGGTTTCTGTATCGTTACCTGCAAATCCATTCTCGAAAACGATAACTTCCGGGTTGTTGTATTCGTTTTTGATCCAGTTCAATAACTTCCTGAATCCCCATGGTACAACTCTAAAGAGATCACTTCCGTTGGTTTTCCACGAAGGGTCGTAGAATGTTGTACAATTGATATCGTTTTCATTCGTTGGTGGTACCTCAGTGTTTCCGTGTTTTACAGCCACGGTGTTGTAATGGTTCAAACCAAAAAAGTCGGAACTGCCTTTAAGCAGTTGTATTTCTTCAGGAGTGAATTTTGGTAAGCGGGATTGATCAAAACCTTGTTTTTTACTAGCGGTATCAATCAGCTCCCGCATGATGAGAGGATAATCTCCTTCTTTACTAAATATCGGATGTGCGAACCATCCTAGGTCCATTTGCATGTATCTCTCTGCAGCTTCAATATCTTCTGGGGTTTGAGTGGCTGGTTCACCCCACCTTGCGTCATTCGTAATACCAATCCTACCTTTTTGTACAGCTCTGAATTCTTTATCATAAATATGATAGGCCTTCATATGTCCTAATAATTCTCCATGTCCTGATAAATAAGACCCGATACCTTTGGAATCATACGCCGGAGCAAGTTGTGCACCACCATAAGCCCGCATAGCAATCAAAATGGGTTCATTGATGGTGATCCATGTTTTGACTCTGTCTCCGAAATGTGTGAAGCATACCCTGGCATAACTCGCGAAGTAATCCGACGTGATTGGATTACACCATCCTCCTAAGTTGTTGATGCTTAATGGTATATCCCAGTGGAATAGAGTCGCAACTGGTTCAATGCCGTTTTGAATCAGGGCATTGATCAAACGGTTGTAGTAATCTATACCAGCGTGGTTGATTTTATTCGGATGACCTGTAGGGAGAATTCTACACCACGAAATAGAAAATCTATAGAATTGGACTTTTAAACGTTTGATGTTAGCGATATCCTCTTCGAATTTGTGGTAGGAATCACAGGAGATATCACCAGATGTGAGGTTTACGATACGTTGGGGAAAAGTGTGAGTGTAATAATCCCAGATTGATTCAGATTTACCTAAAAATATATTAAAATTGTAATATGTCTAATATTTGTTATTTGGTTGCTTACCATCTTCATTCCAACCGCCTTCTATTTGGTACGCTGATGTAGAAACACCAAACTTGAAGTTTTTAGGAAAATGTACCGTTGTAGGCTTCGCCATTTTGATTTAACGCAAATTAGCAAAGAACTAGAATATTCCACATTGCAACCAGATAGTTATAGTTGCAATATTTGAACAATGTTATAAATCATCAACAAGATAACAATATTGTTTTTTGTTGTGTAATTACTAGAAAGCAAACTAAACTAAAGAAATACTATATTTAAGTTAGTCTAGCAAAATTTAAATTTAAAGGTTATGATCAAAACTTTCCGGTTTGATATCCGTAACCATTTTAGTTTTAATCAAATTCTGATAGTAATACGCTGACCGTTTTGGCGTACGCTTTCTTTTCGGATCATTGAAATCAACATGAAACAATCCAAAACGACACCTAGAGGACAAACATTAAATTAAATAAAGTTACATGTATTTACAATATTATATCACTTCAACTTACGAATAACCAGAACTCCACTCAAAATTATCCATGAAAGACCATACAGTATATGCAGTTACATTACATCCTTCCAAGATGGCGTCAAGCACAGCTCCAATATAACCTTTCATAAAATCAATCCGAGCAAAATCTTCTATAGGATCATTAGCGAAACCAGCATATCCGTTTTCCAAAACCATCACTTCCGGATTACCATATTCTTCTTTAATCCATTTAAGTACATTTTTTAATCCCCAAGGAGTAACACGGAAATCATAAGCGGAAGTTGGTATCCACGACTCGTCAACGTAATTCTTAACACCGCGGTCATGTTGAACCGAAGGTCTCTGACCATACGGTTCAGATTTTACTAAGTAGGTATTATAATGATTGAAACCCAAAAAGTCAGAAGATCCATGTAGCATCTCCACTTCTTCCGGTGTAAACTTTGGGAGACGTGAATAATCAAAACCTTGTTCTTTACTTAACCTATCAATACGTTCACGCATTATCGGAGGGTAATCTCCGGCTTTGCTGAAGATAGGATGAACAAACCAACCAAACTGATAAAAATAAATAGGTATTAATAAAGGTTATGTTATGTAATATTAATTTTTTTTAGTTTTTTGGTTATGTTATGAATATTTGATTAATGATTACTTACATACATCTGCCTGTATCTTATCGCAGCTTCTTCATCTTCTTTTTTACCAGTCTCCGTCTGGGTCCATGCAACTTCATTAACAATCCCTACCTTTCCACCTTGTTTACTTTTAAACTCTTTTTCATACATCCGGTATGCTTTTCCATGTGCCAACAACACATTATGTCCAGCTAAATAACACCCTATACCGGTAAACTTATAAAACGGTGCAAATAATGGATAACTATAACCATATTCACTAATCTGATAAGGTTCGTTAATGGTGATCCATTTTTTAACTCTATCTCCGAAAGATTTGAAGCAAATCCGTGCGTAACTCACGAAATAATCCGCCATTATAGGATTGGTCCATCCTCCAATCTCTTGCAGTTTCTGAGGTAGGTCCCAATGATAAATCGTGACCAATGGTTCGATATTATTCGCGATCAATTTATCAATCAACAAGTTATAATAGTCTATACCTTTCTGATTGATAACATTTGGCAACCCGGTTGGATAAATCCGTGTCCACGCGATGGAAAATCTATAGAAATGCACACCGAGGCGTTTTAGGTTAAGAATATCTTCGTCCATTTTGTGATAGGAGTCACAAGCGATGTCGCCATTGGTTCTATCAGCGATTTTTTCAGGAAAAGTGTGGCATTGATTGTCCCAGACTGATTCACCTTTACCTAAATAAAAATAAAAATAAAAATAAAAATAAAAATAAAAATTTAATGTAAATTAACGCCATCCACGGCCATTTTGTAGTTATTACCATCTTCATTCCATGCACCTTCTATTTGATACGCGGATGTAGCAACACCAAACTTAAAATTATCCGGAAACTTCTTCATTTTAAATCAAATTTATGACTTGACCAGTTTGCACCGAGGTTGAGTGTTTACTGACACTTCCAACGATTAAAAATGTTGTTGGTATGGCCGAAAAACATCCAACCGCAGCCAAACGTGAATTTTTAGAAAGCAGATAAGATAAAACGATGCATTTATTTGTGAACAGGTTTTGTGTGAACATTAAATAATGTCTAAAGCAAATAATATTTGCTTAAAGTTGGCTTGCTTTGGCCTTGTCTGTCCCATGGTGATAAATTAATTAAATTGTGCAAAAAATGCCATCATCATGAATTTAAACCTGTAACCTATTATAAATTATATAAATCAGCTGCTCTAAAATAGGTTTATCTGAATTATTACACAGTACGCGTTTTATGAGATTATACTTTGCATTTGTATATAATGGCAAAAGATTTCTGCATTTTAAGGTGACTTGTCTTCTTTTTCAGGTACTTACATTACTTATACGTTAATACTCGACTTACATATCAGGGGTTTGTGGTTCAAATCGATAATTCTCTTTGCTACGTATCACATTATCACAAATCTTTTCTTTTATGTACTTTATGACTAAATTAGGAACCATAACGTTTGTACAAAGCAAGTCTTAGATTTATAAGATTATTTTGCAAAGTTTAACTTTTTAGGCAACCAACATTACTGCATTAATAAAGTGCCAACCTTTGGAAGATGTTCAGGTGGTTGCCTATAATATATCCATATATATTATTTTTATGTTCGTCTGGCTTGTTATGAGGCAAATAATTGGACGTATTACGTAACTGGTATAATATTGTTTTCATGATTTGTATTTTGTGGCATAGCTGGATGCATCTCTGCAATTGGAATTGTCATATGCACACTGCGAAATTCAAGCTGCGAGCAGGAATTGCTGCGCTCGTCACGTCGACTCACCACCACCGGGAGCAGATTGACTTCTTCAACTTTAGCATTCTATCACCGCTATCATTCTCACCTGCATCTGGGTTTGCACTGCTTCCATTTCTTTGATAATGCTTCACCTGCTTCCATTTCTTTGACAATCTGCGGCATCGTCGACGACTTGGTCAACTCGTTATTCCACGTGACTTTGCACCCTCTGCTACGCTTCAATTTTTCTAATTTCGCACGTCGATACTTTTCCTTCATACTAGTCTCAGAGAATTTCTTAAGATAACAACAGCCTACTACACCGCACCTGCTGCCACTCACTGGGCAAATATGCGTGGGTTCTAAATTATGTACTTCGACATAAGATAATTCAGTAGTGCCTTCCGAAAGGTCAAAATCTACCGCTTCATAATCATTTCCTATACTGCCTAGACTATTCGCGCGTGTTTCTTTTTCATGATTGTGATTATGGTTGTGATTTCGTCCGTTTGTGCGAAGGAAGTTTTGATCCGTTGTTCGTAAATACACTGACGCACCCGAAAAGAAGTCGAAAGCGCATCGACTCTCGTTCAAGCTATCTAGCGCTTCCTGCAGCTCGGCGTCGTGAGGATGGTGACTTGTTTGGCTTTTCGAAAAGGCGGACTTTTTGTGGCGCTTGAAAGAGACGACAAGGGGTCGCTTTGAGTCGTGTAGGCGAGCCATTTCGGCTTCTGAGATAACGTAGGACGATTGCCGGCTGCACGAGTCCGTGTTGCTGTGGCTGTTTATCAGCGAGGAGCGCCCTGATAACGTGAATAACAACAAATTACTGCCCTTTGGCGCGGCGTGACCTGCACAGGCAGCCCCTTTGAATGTGTCCTGAAATAGACAATTATACCATCACCGTTTTATTCCGGTAATTATCTCCAAAGAGATGATTGATTATATTGTTACTTTGTTCGTGATTACTCATTGTTTGTAATTACAGAGGATTCGTGATTATGTGCATTGAAAAACACATAAATCTCAAATAATTATTATTTACAACTTTATCTTGTTGCAGGAAAGTAAAATCACTGATCGTGATATTCCACTCTAAACTAAAGTTTAGGCAACCAACATTACATAATGCATTAATGAAATGTTTATTTGGTTGCCTATAATAATATAATTTAAAAAAAATAAAATTTAGAATTTTAATTTTCATTTCATCAAAACAACAATATTCCCAAATTAATTTAAGACAACTTTTATCGATGATTAGTTTAAAACTTTTCCGTAAGATCAATTTCATTATCAATCTAAGTATTGAGTGTGTTATTCGCTTACCTTAAAAGCTTCGCGAAATTTATGCGACATAATATGATAAAGAAAAGGATTGATGGACGTGGAGAGGAAGTAGAGAATGCCGCTGGTTGTGATTTCGTCCGCTTGTGCGAAGGAAGTTTTTGATCTCGTTGTTCGCGTCACACTGACGCACCTTTTCGAAAAGGTCGGTGCGCATCGACTCCTCGTTCAGGTTATCTAGCGCTTCCTGCAGCTCGGCGTCGAGGATGGTGACTTGTTTGGGTTTTTTCGGAAAGGCGGACTTTTTGCGCTTGAAAGAGACGACAAGGGGGCGCTTTGAGTCGTGTAGGCGAGCCATTTCGGCTTCGAGATAACGCAGGGACGATTGCCGGCTGCACGAGTCCGTGTTGCTGTGGCTGTTTATCAGCGAGGAGCGCCCTGATAACGTGGAATAACAACGGCGGCTGCCCGCTTGGCGCGGCGTGACCTGCGGCCTGTGTCCTGAAATGAACAATTATACCATCACCGTTTTATTCCGGTAATTATCTCTAAAGAGATGATTGATTATATTGTTACTTTGTTCGTGATTACTCATTGTTTGTAATTACAGAGGATTCGTGATTATGTGCATTGAAAAACACAAAAATCTCAAATAATTATTATTTACAACTTTATCTTGTTGCAGGAAATAATAATCAGTGATCGTGATATTCCACTTCCAATTTTAAAGCTTAGGCAACCAACATTACATAAATGCATTAATGAAAATGTTTATTTGGTTGCCTATAACAAAGTTTTTTTAAAGATTAAAATCTTGGAATTTCAATCTCATTTCCATCAAAATAACAATATTCCAAAATTAATTTAATAACTTTTATCGATGATAAGTTTAAAACTTTTCCGAAAAATCAATTTGATTATCAATCTAAGTATTGAGTGTTATCTTCGCTTTCACTCAAAAAGCTTCGCGAAATTCTATGCGACATAATACGAGAATAAAGAAAAGGATTGATGGACGTGATATAAGCTATATGTTCGCCGCTGATGTAGTTGGCGATGCGGCAATGCTTATATCTGGGCAAGTTGTTTGAGTTTAATCGTCGCTGTAGACGCATAGCGACGCTGCGCGTGAAACGGCGCCCAAAGCAGATGAAGAACGCCACACCACAGCGACTGGAACACAAAAGCGAAATGCTATATTGAGTTCAAACAACCAGAGAAAAACGCCCGCTTGAAGGCACATCCTTTTACCCTGCGCCTACCTCCCACGCACGACGCGGATGAAAATCACGTATGCGCCTATAAATCGCGAGCGTAAATCACCCGGGGTGCAAAATCCGCTTTTACCACTGCGAACAGGCATGAAAAAATGCTATCATTGAAAAAAAAAACGGTGATACGGGTAGAAATTGTTGAATTTTGCGGTCGTAGTTGAATTTCCCTTGGGTATACTTCGGTTTTTATTTAATATCTATTAGATTAATCCGGGAGATTGTATATTTGCATTAACTTCCAGCACTAAACATCATAATAAACTAATTTCATCCATTTTGGAGTGTCTAGACTGACTCGCAGAGGTGGATGAGCTAGGATCCACTATAACAGGACATGGTGTGAAGTGTAGTGTAGAGGAAACTCTGTGATATCTAAATTAACTTGAATAAACTTTAATGGCGGAGAATCAGCGGAGGATCAGTGCGGTGAAAATTTGCATTTATTTGGGATGGAATGTTAGCTTGCCCTCTGCTCTTTGCTCTTGATGTAAACTTTCGGATGCACTCGGTTTTAGTTTAAGGGCTGCGCGAGGATTTGGAGAATGGTGGACGTAATGGCTATGCAAATCACGCTAATTTCCGCAAATATCCCACTGATTTCCCCCTTTAATCCACTGCCAGCATTCTGTAATTCTCATAATTCCTTTATTCTGTTTCGTTGCATGCGCAAAATTTTTGGCGGTTGGGGGTGGATATTTAAAGGTTGATTTAAAAGTTTTCATTTTATGATATTACTAGCTTTAACCCGCGGCTTCGCTCGCGAATATCTAAAATAATGAAGTTGCTTCCGTACGCGTCTGTAGTCACAGAAGAAGTGACAATGAAGTAGAATGGCGGGAAGTTTAAAAATGACTGAAAGTATAGTCTATGGAAGTATAGTGTACAGTCTCCGCCAATTGTAGTCAATTGAGATTTGATGTTGACGTAGCTGTCGGTAATACGGTGTGATAACCACAGGTGTGATGGTACTATAGTACTTGGGTTTGAGCTTCATTGCTGGAATGCTAGATGGCGTTAAGTAGTCCGATAATGCCAGATGCAGGAGGTATTATTGATAAACAGTTTTCTTTTGGTACATTTAAAAAATGAAATTTTTTTATTAAATAAAAAGTAGCCTATAACCATTCAGGGGACACTAAAGAATATGTGTACAAATTTTCATGATGATCCGGTTAGAAGTAGTTTTTTGCGTGAGAAAGTGTAACAAACATCAGGACTTTCGCATTTTATAATATTAGTAGGGATTTGGGTTATATTGGAATGTACCAGCGATAACTGAAATATAAATATTTTCCGAATAAAATGTCATAAATAAATATCGAGTGCAAGTAGCAGCTGCGACGGCTGGGTGGAACAGCATCGAGGGCGCGTGAAATTATGTAAGTAGATGCGGAAAGTCCTTTTGTAAAATTCAGCACTATAAACGTCAAAAGTGTGTGGAAAAATGCATAAAAACATTTACAATATAATATAATATAAAAAATACGCGTTGTGTATATTTGGTACTTGGAAACGCGGTGCGGTATTGTCCAGCGTGACAGCACAAAACCCTAACAAATAAATTTTTATTATTTATTTACACTTTGGAGTTTTAAAGTATATTTTTGTAATTAAAAATACTTCATGTCACTTTTTTCTGTAATGCCTAATCTATTTTTATCACAAAATTAATTAAAACTGGATTCGTATTTTTGGCGTAAAAACAAACATAAAAAACTAAAAGTTTTGCATTTATAATATTTATATAAATGGAATGCAGGAAATAATATTTGGGCTACGATATCATTTTTAAACGATATCACGAATGCTGTTTATAATTAATCTTAGATTAATGCCTAAATGTCCAAAATATTTTTGGTAAATTTTTGATTGCGGTAAATTTTACGATAAAAACGATTACAAAACCATGAAACAAATAGGCCACTGGTCAAAAACAACTCATATCTATTATACTCGTAACACTCATGTAAATCAAATTTCTATTATTTTGTTTCATAAAATCTATCAATATCTAATCCTATTCCATTTTTTTTTCACTTACATAAATTACTTTTTATCTAAAAACAAGAACATAGAATAAAACTCATCAGTGTTCATGTGAAACTCTTCCAATAAACATAAACATAAAAATGTTCTCCATATCAAACGCTTTAATACTAATAATTTGCATATTTTATCTCCAATATCTCAATCACATTGAATGTATTCAAATTAATGAAAGCCTTCAAATAAAAACAAACAACGAATTATTTAAACGTATAAACCAACGTATAAGTGTAAACACAACATGTCTACGAACAATTTTAGTGGAATACCGCCGTGCAAAAGCTTTTGCATATCTAGCATATTCAAAACTCAAAACATCTACCAATATCACAATAGACGCGTATCTATTAAACTTATTAAACATTACAAGGATTCGACAAGTCGTCACAATGGAGCACATATTACAAAAACCCAACATGGATCTAGCCGTGGATCACATAGACGTCGATTACGGTATCATCCTAGCATATAATTTAGAAAACATCAAAAGTTTTTTCAAAATGGCTGTCTCAACCGATTATCACAGCAGATGGAATTTATAATAATCTACCTTGGGAAGAAGACTCAGAAATTGAAGAATTATTTATATACACTCGAAAAATGTACGTACACCAGTGGTAATATTTGATTCAACAATGAATATTTACATCCCAAAACAATTTTCAAACACAAACTGCCACTTAGAAAATATACAAAAATATAATCATTGTAACTCTGAAGTTTTATTAAATATAAAAACAGTTTTAGAAGAAGATTACATGAATTACAACGGATGTCCCGTGGATATCCTCGCGATGAAGTATGAACCATACGTGTTGAATTACAAAAGCATATATAATCCAGGAATAGAAATTGAAATGTTAAGAATAATCTCAAAAGAATTAAATTTTAAACTTAATTTTATCGATAACAACTATAAAACTTGGGGTGAAATCACAAAAAACGCAAGTTTTACACTCATGTTTAAAGATATGTACGAGCAAAAAGCTGAGTTTATGATCGGAATGGTGATACCTACAGATGTAATGGTGATGTTTTTTGATATATCTAAGGAATTCTTTCCTAACGAGTATAGATTTTACACGCCGAGAGCACAGAGACTTCCGGCGTGGATGAACATGGCAGCTGTGTTCGATATTTATACCTGGATGATACTAATTGGAAGTTATGTGATATTTTCTTTTGTTTATCACTTATTTCAAGTCTTACAAAAGTTCAAAAGAGGATATTTACCTAAAAAACTTAAAAATGATATTATGTCATCGAATAAATCATTAAAATTAAAAAGCAGGAATATTTCAAGGAGTTTCCTGGATGTTTTTGGAATGACTCTTGGAAAATCACTTCCACAACCCAGGATTACCTTAAATAGAATTTTATGGCTTTCATGGGTGTTTGTATCGTATATATTTTCATCTAGTTATGAAAATGTGTTGCTAAGTTTTTTAGTAACAGCAATTCACGAGAAACAAATTAATAGTTATAAGGATATCGTTGAGTCAAATTATCCTATCTGTGGTAATATGATTTCTAAAATTTCTTTCGAAGAGAGTTATGGTGATAAATACATAGAAACTATTTATAAAAGATGGAATTTGACTGGTGCTGGAGATGCAAGTGTGATTATGAATAAAGTAGCATTCGATAGGAATGCGGTAATGATGACAAACCAAAGAAGAATCTGGTATTACATGAAAGAAGAACATAAGTTTGTCATCGATGGTGAACCACAATTGCATGCTATGCATCCGACAGTAACATTTTCTGAAGTAATCATGATGCAGAAAGGACATCCTCTAAAAGCTGGTCTGGATAAAATTATTATCAGATTTTTGGAGAGTGGTATGTTTAAAAAGGTTGATAGAGAAAGTCAATATTATTTCTATGAACAAATTGGAGCTGTACCGTTTGTTTCGTTAAAAGTTGAGCATATTCTTGGAGCTATTAATGTTTATTATATTGGGATGGGTGTGAGTTTAATTGTGTTCTTGAAAGAATATTTTTATACTAGTAAATAGAAGTTGTATTTGTGTTCAGGTAACTGCACGTAATTATAGAAAGTTTTTGGAAATGCTGTGTAATGTACGGGAAACAAACAAATAGTACAGTTTAGTTGTTGAAGGTTTTATTCGACGCCATAATACACATGGTGGTTTAGATCAGGCGTTACATATTCAATACCGAAAGCTTTACATACGATTTTGTCAATGTAATTTTTTGTGAACATGTAATTAATTTTTATTTTCTTATTTATGATGTGGTATGAGTTGATTGCATCATTAAAACTCGCAATTTTATTTTCTAGAAAAGAGAAATGCTAATAATGCACTTTAGCGCCCTCTCTGATTGGATTATTTAACTATAACTATGTTTGAATCTTTATACTAATTTTAATTCTTCATTTAATACTTTTTAAATCATAATTTTTGACATTTTAAAAGTTATTCTGCTAATTGGGGCTGAGACAAATCCAAAAAATTATAGATTTTCTAAATCTGCCAAACCGTTTTTGAGTTATAAATGGTGTAACTAACACAACTTTTGTTTATATACATAACTAGCTTTAACCTGCGGCTTCGTTCGCGAATATCTAAAATAATGAAGTTGCTTCCGTACGCGTCTGTAGTCACAGAAGAAGTAACAATGAAGTAGAATGGCGGGAAGTTTAAAATGGCTGAAAGTATAGTCTTAGTGTCACAAGAGCACTTAAATGACTTCGCATTAATGTTCATGAGCAGATATTTTAAAAAACTAAGAATTACCACGGTAAGGTGTTGAAATCTTTGCCCAAAAGAGACAAGAAAAGAAAATTTGTAATTTGTATTTAAATGATTACCGTTTTTGAGCACGCATTGCGATGAACTCGGAACAAGATAGCATTGATGATAATCCCATCGCGGCGGATAATTATGGCAGAAAAATTTTACCTGTATTTCGATCGGTCCTATGAAAGAAACAATTAACACTTACAACACACCTGGTCCATCGCGAAGAGCGAATCGGAAGATAATCCATTAAATTTTGCGAATAGTGCGTGTGGATTAAACCTACTGGGGATGCCACGATAAAAAACGCGCCGCGTACTCTACTCCTTGGTGAGGGTGTGTGAGTTTTTGTAAGCACAAACGTGCTGAAGTAGACTTTGCAGCGCGCATTTACGCTAAAACTATTAATTTTACTGGGCTAGCAGCCGTTTTTGAAAATTTTTCGGATTTAGGGGCCCCAAACTTGTGATTTTGCGCCTAGGGCCCCCACTGAGAGCCTCAATAATCCGCCACTGGCCCAAAAGGAAAAAACGTATGTACATTTTGTAAGGAAAGCACATATAAAGCACTAGCCTTTACCAAATCTCATTACCGCTCGCTCAGGAGAATTTACATTTAAATCCGACATGAAGTTATTTATTTTCGTGTTTGTTGTGTTTTGGCTACTTTTTCGCAAGCACAACAGACTTTGAAAAGAGTGTTATTCCTGGTAAGTTAATGCTTAACTATTATTTTTCTAAATTAAGTAAATATTTATAATTTTGAATTTTGTTTGGCACCAGGAGTAGTGATGTGGCGGATTAGCAAACATTGCTTCAACTAGACCAGACCTGCAATAAGCGATAGCGATTTAGAACGTTTAGGAACTTACAGATACCGTGTTGCATGAGTACAACAAGTGTCAAAGAGATTTAGGGACCCTAATAAACGCTGTGAGTACCTTAAATACTTTACTATTTTTTATATTAACGTAATAAAATGTGAGAAGGTTTTGTTACTTTTTACGTGAAGTAGCAGAATTTATTTTTGGCAAATTTTGGTATAGAGATATTTTTAATCAAGGATAAGAAAATTGACAACATTTTGTTGCAAAAATTTAACAAACAGAGTGTCAAATTAAGAATGAAAATTGGTATGGAGATCAATCATTTCATTATTATATAATTCAAAATAAAAAAGTATTGAAGTATTTCAAGTCTCCTGCGAATTCTAAGTCACGAGTAAATAATATAATTGATACCTAAATTTAATCTTAACTTTTCTGTTTTCTTTCCCTCTCAGATATGATTGCGAATGTGAAGGCTTCCGTATTAAGTGTTTTGAGAGGAGCAAACAAACCAAGTCCAGGCGAAAGCTTATTCCGAACTAAGTTCGGTAAAAACTATTTCAACGTTGTTTATCCTAAGTGCACCAAACAAGGTGGTAGTTTTACTTGCACAAGTAAAATAACAAGCAATACTAATGGGTAAGTTACCTCATAATAATTACCAAACATTTTATCTACTTCCACTTTTAAAGAGATAGTTTTTTCACGGATGTGACTAAAGTATTTTAGTCACGGGCTTTAGTCACGGGGTGGAGCTCACGAATTTCAAAGATTTAAAGTACAAATACAAAAACGTGAAAATAAAGTGGAAGTAGAAAAAATAGCGTAAACATCTCGTGGCTAAACCTTATTAAACACCCGATTGATTAAACACTCGCTATGCTCGATCTTAATCAATCTCGTGACAAAAACTCCCTTTTAGTCTCTTAATACTTAATATACTAATAATTTTATTTTGTTTCTCCTATTTATAGTGACCAAAGATGTGGAACATTCAACATTACCCCCGGCACTGAATATTTATCACTTGACAATAAGTTCTACGAAACTGTATGAAACAAATTTTTGTATGTTACCTGGTTATCTGCAATAATACAATTATAAATGAGATTACGGGTGGTTTAGTTATGTAAATTGTCGTAATAATTATATGCGACAGTTACCAACACTCACACGGCTAAACGAGTCTATTTATCTTTATCTATGGACATGGAAAATAAATTCCTGCACGTCAGCAATGTGAAAAATTCAAAACAACGAAACAATTTGCTAGGCAAAAACGGTGAAAACTAATGCGTCAAGTGTCTACGATTATTCAGCATTGAATTTTACGTGTGTGTGGCGCAAACATGTTTAGAATCAGCTTAGCGATTTGGACGCTTACATTGTTTTGCGGCCATTGAGTGCGTGCACAATTTCGCATCGGTGAATTACGCGCTGACACCAGAGGTCTACAGGTTATCATGAGGGGCACAAAATGGTGCCGGGACGGGTGACATCGCCGAAAAACGATGAGGATCTGGGCGAATATCGAGTGTTGGATGCGTGCTGTCGAAGTCATGACAAGTGTGCGGATTCCATTGAGCCCGGTCAAACTAAACACGGGTTAACGAATCGGCATGTGTTTTGTTTGTAAGTGTAGGGGTCGCAACTTTCCTAAATTTAATTTAAAAATCGTTTGATTTTTGTGAAATTCTAGGAGTCATTGTAAATGCGATTATCAATTGTACCGTGTCTGAAAGCAGTGGATTCTCAGCTTAAAGGAGAATCGAGCGGCGATTAACGTGGGCGATGTGAGTACCCTTTAACGACTTGAATGTTCAATGCTTCGACCACACCCCTTTCCGGCAATTTGTACAAGGAATGAAACGCGACACGAAAAGATTGGGGTGTTTTCTTTGTCGCCTCATAAGTGCACGCGGTATGAGTTCCAAGAGGGTGAGAAACAGTGGCAATGGTTTGATGTACCTTTTTTTGAAGACTAAAATAAATTTTTAAAAGAATATTTATAGAAAACAAAGTTTTGTTAGTTACAACGTTTATAACTCAAGAACTACTCGACAGATTTTGATGATTTATGATTTTTTAGATTTGCCTAGACCCGGATCAGCAGAATAGTTATTAAAAAACTTGAAAAATTGATTTGAAGGGTGTTAAATAAGGGATTAAAGTTGATATAGAGATTCTATCACGGTTATAGTTAAATAATTGAATCAGAGGTGGCGCTAGTGTATTATTGGTATTTCTTGAAAATAAAATGGCATGTAATTAAACAAACTTTATTTTTTCGATTTTTAACTGTCAATTCATGAATTGCACCCTTATAATTACCGTTTGCACTTAAAAAATGGCTGGTGAACTCAAACTTAAAATAAATATTATTTGCACTTTGAAAATGAAATCTAATTTTGAATAAAAATGCTTTAAATCTATGAAATATTACTTTGTAATCTCTATAAAACTTGTAGTATTAAGTACGTGCCGTTGTCTTGTAGCCGGCCCCTTCTATCACCCCCACCGCCCCTCAAATAATACCAAACAAGGTAGCCTACCTAACCACCACCCCAACCACCCCCTCCCCCTTCAACCCCCAACCCTCCCCACAAATAATACCAAACAAGGAGCTCTACCTAACCACCACCCCCTGACCACCCCAACCGCCCTCAAAATAAAAATTAAACAAGGTAGCCTACCTTAACCACCACCCCTAACCCCCCGACCGCCCCACAAATAATACCAAACAAGCAAAATTTACCTAAACCAATTCACAAATTATAAAGTTTCAATTTAAAAGTTGATTCAAAGCAAATTTAAGCTTAAACCCGAATATATAAGTGTACTTGTATTAAAAATATAAGTTATACAATCTATAGTGCATAATATGAATTTAGTGCAAAGTATGAAAACTTTAAGTGCGTGGCTGTTCAAGTGTGATTGTATTTCAACTAAAGTGGCATTTAATATATCCCCAAATAAATTGTGAATCTTACTGAAAAACTGATTCATACTGGGTCTTGAAGAAGAAAAGTAAAATTAATTACGTTTTACTAAAAACTGCAAACGAAATCGTGGGCTGCTTTCGTTTATATAAATTTCTATAAAATCAACAAAAATTACAATTATAATCTGTATTTTTGCAATTTTTATCAAAAGGGAAAATTCTAACAAAAATCCGTGGTTTGTTTAGGTAGAAAATGAGAAAATCGTTGGAAAAACTCTGTAAACCCTGGTAAACGCAAAAGTAAACGCAGACAGAGGTGATGCAGACGTACCTCACATTTGCACATTTTAAAATACCGGCGCATTATCCGGCGCATTACGTTTTGCGACTCGCCCAGAGATCCATCCACGCGAAGAATGCAAAACTAAACTGACGCCACCACCAACCAGCACTAAAACCTGGTGGAAAACGCGTTGGTGTACGTGTACTCCGTGCATACTGGATGACGCCCGACGGGCGGATTTTTCGTTGCTTCTAGTGACGGTTTAACTTTTTAGAGAATCAACGAATTTTATTACTGACATTTTACGATGCACATGGACATGGACATACATTGACCAAGTAGAGTATATTTACCTTTTCGAATATTTTACCCAAATTTTATACATGAAAATAAAACGTTGAGTAATTAATTAAATTACATATACAAATTTATACAAGAAAAAAAAAAAAATTGGTAGGTATGCCAAATGTGATTCGGGCTCAATTTGACGAAATTCACTAAATTGGGCGCGCGTGCGAATATCGACGTCGGCATGCCACGCGAAACATCTTTTACGCACTTTACGCGCCGGCGAAAATTTCCCGAGCGTCCCCAGAACCCTTCAAATGTTCTCAGCGTTGCTCAGCGATAAGTAGTGAAACGCACGCATTTGGGAAGCAAGAATTATTTCTATTATCAGTTCCGTTCGGTGAGTGCCATTGTCAAGCAATAGGCACAACCAGCGCCATCTAATGTCATATAACTTAACTTTCCATTAGCATTTTAATTTCGTTGCCTGGCTAAATGCATAACCTAACTTATATTACCCGTATTCACACAAAAGCTAATATTGATAAATTTTTAACCAAAGAAAAGTAAGTTACCTACTTTTTCATCAAAAATCTATCTTAAAATATAAAAAATAAGGCTTTAAAATATTAAAAAGGTTAAAATATCGTTTTAATTACATGATTTGACGCCAGATGGCGCTGAAGTGTAGTGAAGTTGCCATAAAATAAATCCAAGATATCAGAAAGTAAAACTTTTTCTCAAACCCGCACGGAACAAGTCGAGAGCCAAAACAAGTCCTATACATTTCCCACGACACTACAGCCTAACAAGTAACACCACCATCTTGTTTAAACTTTTCACATTTACACAATAATTCACATCTTAACATCTCGTGCTTACACCAAGGTAAAATATGCAAATTAACCAAAAACTTGTGCTAACACTCAACACAACCATGTACCTACTTACTTAGAACATGCCCAAGCACCCACCCATCTCTTCAATTTTTTAATTAAATTAAGAGTCTTAGGGGCTGGCACAAGGGCTAATATTAAATGTGCGGGTCGACGTTCCACTTCGCTTGATAGCGCATCAACTTGGTGTAATGTGTGTGGTGGCAGCGTGGGCGCTGATTAAACGAATGTTGCAATTTATTTGATTTTTTCGGCGCCCATTAAAAATTACTTAACGAAATTGGGCGCGCGCACTTGCAAAGTGAATTTGAACCGATAAAGATTACAAATATTTGCAAGTAAAATTCAGCTCGGGAACTAATTAAAGTAAATGCAAAGCTGAAATTCGATTACTTTTACAACGCGCAATCATGAGAATGAAAGATGAGGTTATGTGTGGAGGTTATAAAGATGTGAAAAAATTTCAATCGCGTTAAATAATGATGAAGAAGAGAAAGTTCAAGAGTCGTGAACTCCATCGGAGAATTCCTCCGGTTACATACACCACATACAAGCGCTTCTCATACAATTTATAACTTTTTCAGCGCCAAATTGGCTCTAAAACCTGAAACTCACGTCGTCGCATCGTCGAAGCAAATCAAGTTTAAGTTCTAACACAATATGCTATAAAGAAATTACATTTTTATCTGCAACGAATAATATTTTACGAGTCTTCTAAGAATTGACTTAATAAATATATTCCATATAAGTTCCTTTCTTTCTTATTATTGCGTTACACGCGTTGAACATGCGAAAATGCGCAAATATCTCCGCAGTAAGCGTTCCTTAAAAATGTATTACGGGCCGAATACATTAGTAGTTTTATGAGGATCGCGGGGAACGCAGCGCATGCAAAACCTCGTTTTCTCACCAAACTTTGGCAAAAAACCTGCCCGTACGCATTTCTAGTCCTCCTACGCAACTTGATTTTATTCTCTTTCTGAGCGCAAAGTGTGTGAAACGTTCCATGAGGCACAAATGTTCAGTAACCGAAAATCACGTGCGTGCAAATTTCAAATTTTCATGTCTCAACATTCACACAACACAAAAAACATCATAAAATTTTTCTGGAAAAAAAAAAATAAAATTACGTTTTTTACCTAACATTTTGACGACATGTTTCGTCCCTTGCGCATTCCTCGCGAAATTCTTCCTCCCATCTTCCTCCTGACTCACAGGTACCTTCGGACTTGATGTGAGTTGATCCTCTAATCGATTATTACCACCCCCAGCTCCATTCAACCCACCATTGCTTATAACATTCCCATTCAATACAATTACCGGCTGTGTAGAGGTCGGTGTGTATGAAACTACACGATGTTTCAACCGCACACTATTCCCTCTCGACGGACCCACAGTAGACTTATGCAGTTGTAATCCAATCAGGATATACAACACGGTTATCAAAGACATTGGAGTCACAAAGAACAACAATGTACTGATACCAAACGCATGTGGTATCGCTGTTTGTTGCACGGTGCAAACACACTGCTCATCTCTATTACCATGCACGATTTCAAAACTCATCGCTTGTGGTATGGCCAGTATCATGGCAATGATCCACACCGCTACAATATACTTAACTGCTCTGCTTAGCTTCGACATTGTATGCGAGAGAAACGGGTGGCAAATGGCGACATAACGTTCGACTGTGAACGCTGTGATTGTTAAGACTGTTGCGTTGGCGGAGGTCTCAGCAGCAAAGCCCTGCAAGACGCAGAAGACCTCGCCGAAGATGTATGGATATTTGAACCAAATGGCGTACATATCCGGGGGAAGCCCCGAGATTAATAACAGCAAATCGGAGATTGCCAATGAGAAAAGGTAGTAGTTGGTGGCGGTGTGCATGGACTTGTTTCGGCTGATTACTATACAAGTAGAGATATTGCCGACGACGCCTGTGATGAAGATTATTACGTATAGAATCGTGATGGGGATGACAATGTACAGCGGATCTCTTTGCGGTCCCCAATCGATATCGGGAGCTGGGGAGATTACCAAAGGTTTGATATAAACGCTCGAGGTTGATGTGGGAGGAAGAATAGATGATTGAAAACTCGTTGCGTTCAAGGAATCCATTAGATTGTTCTGAAACAAAGATAAAATTCAAATTAAATTATAAATTTGCTAGTATAATATATGCAACCAATAATACACGAATTTGTAATGCACACTGAGGTTATAACATGTGTAACCGATAAATTTTCAAAACTAACTTGAAAAAGTCTTTTAAAAACAATAAAAATGAATATAGAACCTGCTGAAATTAAGAAGTTAGATGAAGTGGTCATTAATCGCATCGCAGCTGGTGAAATCATTCAACGTCCTGCGAATGCACTCAAAGAAATGATAGAAAACAGGTAAACTTACATATTTCTAAATTTTCCATGAAATAAACACAATATTTATAGCCTAGATGCAAAATCATCTAATATACAAATAACAGTCAAAGATGGTGGTCTAAAATTACTACAAATCCAAGATAATGGCACCGGTATTCGTCTTGATGACTTTCCAATTGTCTGCGAGCGTTTCACGACGTCCAAACTTCGCAAGTTCGAAGATTTGGAGGCGATTACCACCTACGGCTTTCGTGGTGAAGCCCTGAGTAGTATAAGTCACGTAGCACACTTGAACATTGTTTCCAAGACTCATTCATCACCAGTTGCATATAGGTATGTTAACACAATGGAGTTCATTACTATCAAACTAATTTCAAACAATTTGTACCAAAAGTGCATCATATGTTGATGGCACAATCAAAGCAGATCCCAAGCCAATGGCGGGCAATCAAGGCACAATTATCACAGTTGAAGACTTATTCTATAACATGTCAGTGAGGAGAGGAGCACTGAGAAGCCCGGGTGAAGAATATTCAAAAGTTGCTGATGTTGTTGGAAAATATGCTGTGCACAACTCGAAAGTAGGTTTCAGTTTGAAAAAGACTGGAGATTCTATTGATATTCGAACAATGCAGAACTCTTCAACTGTGGATAATATCCGAGTTGTTTTTGGACAAGCCATAGCCAAGTAATGATTTATTTTATTTTATTTTATTTGATTTTATTAATTTATTAAGAAAATGTTTCTATTCTTAGAGAATTGATGGAGTTCTCAGCGAATGATGACGCGTTCAAGTTTGCTGTCAACGGACACATAACGAATCTGAATTATTCATCGAAGAAAATGCAATTTGTGCTCTTCATCAATCACCGGCTTGTCGAGTGTCTCAGTGAGTAAGCGTGCATATTCATATGTTCACACCTTCGCCATCAACGCGCATGATAAATGATTAAGCATGAAATTTTTATTAATTAGGTCTCAAGCGACGAATCGATCAGATTTACACCACATATCTGCCGAAAAACGCGCATCCTTTTGTCTACTTGAGTTTGGCATCGACCTGCGCAACGTCGACGCGAACGTGTACATCCGACTTCCAGAAACATGGAAGTTCATTTCTTTGAACGAGGACTGTGATCGCTGACATGATCGGCGCGGCTTGGAAGCGAAGCTGTTAAGTGGAAAGTGAGTCACGTTCATTTACGCCTGCGGGTAAAAGTAAATATTTTGTTTTGATGGGAAATTGTGTTGAAATTAATTAAATTTTGTTTATTTTTAATAGAGTAAACTACCCAGACTATTTAAACACAACTACCTCATGATAAACCAGATGAGGTAAGTACAAGTAAAATTTACGATAAGGATTTAGTTCGGACTGATATGCGTGAACAAAAACTCGAGAAATTCTTTGGTCCGGCTTCGCAAACACAAAATGACAGCGCGATTGTCGGAGAAGTATTAAAACGTACTGAAGATTTCGATAAAATATTACTCGACCAAACTGTAATTCCTAAAGATAATGAAGATGATAATGAATCACCTAAACCTAAACCTAATGCATCTAAACCTTCATATTCACAAGCGAAAATGGCATCAACTAAAAGCAATTTCATTGCGCAAAAATCCCGGCATAAAGTCCGCCTCCGCAGCGTGCTGGACATGCAGAAAGCGATCGAGGATGACTGCGATTCAGCGCTGCGCGAAATTTTCGCCGAGCATGTATTCGTCGGCGTTGCGACGCCGAGGCAGGCACTGGTGCAGCACCGTGCCTGCTCGGTATCGATACGGGAGCGCTTGATGCGCGAGCGCCGTTCTCACCAGTGCGTGGCGTACACTTTTCAAAACTTTCGCTGTTATCGCTTCCGCTACACCGCTGGACATTAAGGAATTAGCGCGATTGCAAGCAATATGGGCTGACACTGGCTGGATACCAGAGGATGGACCTACAAGACTTGGCAGAGAATAGCGGGATTTTAATCGCGAAAAGCGGAAATGTTGCGCACTTATTTCGAGATTGATATTGATATGATGGTAAAATACATACAATACCGATTTTGATAGGTAAATGATTAATAATTTTATTAAATTATATTTTATGTGATTATTTTGATTTATAGGATGACATGCACCAAGTTAGGAAAGTGCATTACCGCGGTATATAATTAGATTAGCGTGTGAGGTAAATTGGGATGAAGAAAACCGTGTTTTTGAAAGTTTTGCAAGAGAAACAGTGAGTATTATGCGACGTCACCCGGCGCTGCTCACAGACGAATGGCGACACACGGTCGAACATGTGTTGTACCTCTTTGCGAAGGAGTATTTTACCGCCCGCGCATTTCAAGACCAATGGCGCAGGTTGGAGGCGGCAAATTTACCGCAATTGTATAAAAGTCTTCTGAACGATGTTAAAATACATCTATTAAACTAATAAACAACTATTTTATATTTTTTCATAAAAATCAAACATTTTGTCATTTATTATCATAAAATAGACAGTAATTTTACTCAGTGTTAACTTTGCTGTTAGTTTATGCCGGTTCGAAAGTTGGTTGCGCAAAACAATTGAACGTTTGCTTTAAGTTGAGTGGGTTTGTACCGATTGCAGTGCAATTTTGAAAACTATTTAGCACCTGTTATGCTATGTCATGTTGTGTAATTTATGCAATTGATTTATGACGGTTATTGATTTTCCCAGGTGAATTATTGATTTGATTTCAATTTCGATCAAACTCTTGCTAATTCATTTTAATCGCGGTTTTAATCTATGTATTTTATTTGTATGTTTATCAAAGCGTTCACAAATAATGATTTGTACTTAGGTTAATGTACATTGTGCTGCATACAATATGGCGAGTTGTTCGTTTTGGTTAGATTCGGTTGTAATAATGCTGAATAATGTATCCAATTGCAAGGTATTACGATGTTATTACTGCAAAATACTGCGGCGTGTCTTTTTGCTCAATAGCAAAACCATTGAATCGGTCAATATGGAATTGAGTACTTCTTTTATTGTGAAATATGTTGGAATTTAATTTATTATCAGACATTTACGGTGTTTTTACATTGCAAAAAATCAATTTTAAACAAAAATATTTAATTTTCGTTGTGTGATTCTAGAAATTTAAGTTATTTCTATTCAATTACTCTGACTTCTGCTGTTCGCATTGATGACTTTTGCCAACTTTATTCACTCCTACTTCCGTGTTCTGTGTAGAAGTTCACGCAGAATTAACTAACAAGCGAACTGCTGCTCGTACGCACGCAAATTAACCAAATTGTGCCGCGATAATTTCTGCCGTCGACTCCAGACGCACCCCGACGTGAAACGCATGCGAACAAAACGCAACAAAAGCGTTCTCAAAGAAGAGAGATGCAAAGGGGAAAACTTCACAGCGTTCGCATGCGAAGCGATTTCTAGATTCTAGCGTGTACAGTACAAGTATGACTACAGTCCTTATAACTGTTACATAATAGATATTGCTAAGTAAAGTCCTTTTGCATTCCTTTTGTACATGTCCGCAATGTAAGATTCTAAGGAAATCATTTATCTGGCGATGATGTGATGTTATCGATACAGAATGGTTACCGAGAACATTTTCTTTATCTTATCGTGAAATATTAAATGTTAAAAAGAATTTACTTGCATAAAACAGGAACACACAGGTAATAATTTGAATCTGAGGAGCGCCATATTGAATTTTGCGAAAAGAATATGAGTATAACTGGTTGCCTATCATCTCAATTGATATATTATAAATGCAAATGTGTTTTATTTACTTTAAAATATTTTAACCAATTTTGATAAAATTTGAACAAGGAAAATCAATTAAACTGCTTTTTGTCGCAAAAATATAACTTATAGGTGCAAAATAAGAAATAAAGTTGACTTTAATCACAATTGTACTTCATAAATTAACTTCAGATGGCGCTCTAGAGCTTTATAGCATTTCTCCCCTTTTTAAATTAAAATGGGATATATTAAATGCAAATTGAAGTTAAAAAATACAATCCACTTTGAAATCAGCCGCAACTTTAAGTTTTCTCATACTTTGCACTCAAGAAATTCATATTATGCACTATAGATTGTATAACTTATATTTTAATACAATGCACTTATATATTCAGGTTTAAGCTTAAATTTGCTTTGAATCAACTTTTAAATTGAAACTTATAATTTGTGGTATAGGTAGGGTACCTTGCTTGGTATTATTTGGGCGGTTAGTGGTCGGGGTGGTGGTTGTAGGCTACCTTGTTTGGTATTATTTGTGGGGCGGTTGGGGTGGTCAGGTGGTGGTTAGTAGGCCTATTTGGTATTATTTGTGGGGAGTGTTGGGGGTTGGGGAGGGGGGTGGTTGGGGGTTAGTGGTGGTTTGTAGTAGGCTACCTTGTGTGGTTTGGTATTATTTGAGGGCAGTGTAGTGATAGAAGGGGCTGGCTATATACGGCACGTAATTAATACTGGAAGTTTTATAAGCAAAGTATTAATTTCATAGTGCAAAGCATTTTATTCAAGTGGGAATTCATTTTCAAAGTGCAAATATTTATTTTAAGTTCAGTTCTGTATTTTTAAGCGCAAAACATTAATTATAAGTGCATTTCATGAATTGACAAGTTAAAAAATCGAAAAATAAAGTTTGTTTAATTACATGCCAATTAAAATTACAGATTGACAGCTTGACTTATTGATACATTTGACTTTTTATTCAAACCAACGCGGACAAAAGTTAATTTTAAACAACACAAAC